AGGAAGGAAATATAGGTACTGAACCTATAATTATTGAATGAACCGATCCAATTGGCTTCTGTGAGAATCTTTATTCAACACCTAGTCTGATTGCAAAGAACGTAGAAGTACTAGACTGGAGACATATCCTTTAAAACAGATATAAAGTTGCAGAGAATTACCATAATGTTTGAAGCATGGGCTAGGTAGTCATGGACACCATCTTCCCAAAGTTCATCAGGATGATTCTTTAGTTGTGTTTGTACCCAACTGTACAAATAGAGGCATATTTATAGTGAAAACATTATCAATTCTGGAAGGTCCGATAAACATAAGACAACTGAGGGTTATGTGTCTGAGTAGCAGGAATAATTTCGAGAACAAATAGGAAATTCAAATAATGTAGAAACTTCAAAATTATATGAAGCATATCAAGTCATACTGAATAATAAAATGTGCACATCATATTTGATAAAGAAGAATAGTGTCAATAAAAAGAAACCAATTTAGTTGGAACCCTAATAAGAAACTTTGACATATTCATATACAACATGATGAAAGCATATGGTTGTAGAAATAGAAATAAGGCGGACCTTGCAAATTGGTTATTCAGAGCTCTCACATGCTGCCGAGATGATGCAGCCCGCTGTGCATCCAAAGGAGCTGTATCTGCCAATTGCTCTTGAGAAGGCTCTGCCCTATTAGAGTCAAATGAGGATCCCGCCATAATCCTTTTATTCCGGAACTGCACATTGTTGAAGAGAAAATATAATATACATCAACATACTGAAATTTCAAAATCTCTAACCCCCACCAATAAAAGAAAAACTATTGAAAAACTTAAATGTGGAGATTTGAAACCACCAACAGTCTGTTTGAAGTCTTGCATAAGATCCATAGTCACCGATAATATTTGTCTCATATTATTTGACAGCCATTGAGCCTATATTGAGAGGCAACTGAGGATAACAATGCATCAAACATTGCTTAACTAGAAAGTGAATTTTCCTCCCTTTAATTAGTGAACATTAAGATTTCAATGAAAACCCACAATTCAGTACAGAACTGAAACAATGAGTGTTGAAATACAAACTGACAACAAACCAACCAACCAGACGCAAACGAAATAAATTAGCAGAAGGCCTAACTTATTCACTTCCAATAAATACAGATATACACCTTCTCTATCGAAAGGTGAAACATTAATATTACTCCAAGTCGAAGCTCATAAACCTAACATCTTCCTTGACATCAATAAAACCTGCTCATTGGTTGCATTGACCATAACTTCTCCGTCTACCCTTCCCCTAAATGCCCACTAAAGAGAATGGCAGCCTAACTGCTTGTTTAAAGTCTGCACATCTTCCATTACTATTCCTACGTTATTACTTCGTCTACCCCCAATTCCTTGGTCAGCTCAGGAATCGACCAAAACTGAAATTTTTCAAAAAATCCACAATCCCAATCTGAAAAACTGATAAAAACCCCATAACCATTTTAGATTATACAGTCCTTAATTAATAATATAATGCAAAATTGCAACCACTATAAGCTAATTGCCCCCTAAACAGCTCGACTGATCAGCTTAAAATTCAAACCGTTTGGGATTTATTCACAAAAAAAAAACATAAAAGCCCCAATACGCAGGGCCTCCAATACACTTCAATCCACAAAACAGAAACTAGAATATAGGGTTTTTTTTCCCCTCAAATTTTCAATAAAAATTGAATACAAACAACAAAAAGGTGAAATTTTTGAAAGGGAAAGTGTTACTTACGGCCGAGTCAGAGTTGAAGTCCGATACAGAAAAACGTTTCGGACCTTTCGTCATCATGATTCGAGCTTTCCGGGTTCAAAAAGCGGAATAGGGTTTTTCAGAATTTCTCTGCTTTTGGCTTAACACTATAGCTACACTGCAAGCAAAACGAGTAAAAATGAAAAGCATTTTTCCATTTTTATATTAAATTAAAAAAATAAAAGGAACGGTGATTAGAGCCTTTGGAACAAGTGGGGAACCAAATTTTAATTTGGACCGTCGGATTGGGTTCCCACTACAGTATTATTTCATGAGGGTCTTTGTTTCAATTGAGATTTTTTTTTTGGGGCTTTTCAATCTAAGTCCAAAAACATAGGTAGTTTTTTAACTAAGTCCAGTTATCCATTACATTTTTTATACCAATTTTGCCATTTTAGAAAAATATTTAAATTCTTTAATTTTTGTATCTTATTCAGTTTGTAATTTTGAATATTTAAATACTAACTATATTATCTAGTAACCACCTAATGATGTTACCTACAAAAACTGATATAATTTAGTAACTACCTATTGTATGGAAGAAAAATACTTTATACCAACAAAAGATATGTAATCTACTGCAAAACAAAAATAAACTACCTATTGTATAGGAAGAAAAATGCTTTATACCTACAAAATAGATATAATCTACCAACAAAATAAAAATAAACTACCTATTGTATAGGAAGAAAAATGCTGAACCTCCATGGCAGAACATTAGAATAGAAATATGATATAATATACCTCCATTAAAGGAACAAATACTAAACAAAAAAAAGGAACAAATACTAAGTTTCAGTTTACCTTTATGATACGCACAAAAATATAATAGAGCAAATATAAATGCATGATATTGTATTATTGCTTGCAATTGATACTGTATTGCCAAACGAATATGTAAAAAAATTGTGAAAGCTACGTAAAAACTGAAATTGTCATGAAGGAATTTGGAGGGAGGAACACAAAATATCACCCATGAAAGATGAGAGAAGAGGATGATTGATTCCATGATCTAACAAAGGGAATTGTTTAGAAGAAGGAAAAAAAAGGAGGGATAAAACAGACTAGGGGTTGAGATTTTATTGCTATAACTAATCCTACATTAAGGGATAGTTAAACCACAAATAATCATATAATTAAGAAATTTTGAATATTTACTACAATTTATAAGTCTAAGGGATAAATATGGTACAAATTATAAATAAGCTTACGTGGAATATCAATTATTGGACCTATTTCAATGCAGTGGACTAATTATAGTAATGGCTCACAAAATTGGATCTATATCAAATTATCCCTTTTTTTTTTTTTTTAAATAATCGATATTATCTACGCCAAGTGATAAGGGGTGTAAGCTAGGCCTTATACTGAGCTTGCCATTATAATGTGGTTCAAATTCATATTTAGTGACAATTAAACGTTAGACCTCTTACTTACAAGTAAAGAAGAACACCACTAACTGTAATACTAAGTGGCTGTATTGATGGGGATTTGAGATCCACCCCCCCTCCCCGAAAGCACCTAATTAAAAAACTCACTACACCCCTCCTAATCCACAGCTCAAAAAGAGTGAAGTCAACAGAAGGAGAAGCTATTGAATCTTGTTTTAGAAGGGCTACTAAACTATAAAGAAGGGATCGATCACAAACCGGAAATCCTTGATTCCTAGATGGCAAGAATCAGCCTTTTTTGGCACTTTGGGCATAGCATAGATGTTGGTGAGATAATGTATTTTAGAATAAGAATTATCTATTTCTAAGTAAAGAAATCCAGCAGATGTTTCGAGCTCTGTCTCAATCAGATGCACCAAAGGCGTGATGGGAGGCTTGAAAAACTGCTCATGTCTAGCCACAGAGCAATTCTCAAAAGGATCTTTCTTAGGACTACTGTCCTGCCTTAGTTTCCTCACGTCTCTTTTCTTTCATTCAGTGACTAGGTGCGTGCTTCGCCATGAAAAATCTCGGTGACCTTCATTTCTTCTTGGGAATCGAAGCCAAACGTACATTGACTGTTCTAGTCTTAACTCAAGGCGGGGCAAATAACCTTCTAACTGAGGCCAAGAGATATTATTTTTCTCAAATTTCAAGCTAGCTCCTAAACATGTCTTCCCATATAAAGATGCATTATTTGTTGTTCTGGTCCGAAAGAAGAGGCTTGGCCTGGATCCCCATCTTTTCACCCAGACAAAAATCCCTGACACTATACTCAGCTGATCTGATGCCAGGCTGACATTAGCCACATGTAGCCCTTTTTTTTTGCACTAGACGCGTAGGAAACACGCATATTCCCGATTGGTTGCCAGCCCGAATGGGGGGTTGGGGGTTCAGTAAAGGAGCAACGTGGCACTCAGGGATTCGGTAGAGGAGCAATGTGGCACAACGTTGATCATCGGATTTCTAATGACTAGTTTTTTGGACCGTTGGATTTCCAATGATAAAAACAATTTAAAATTTAAAACCAACTGTTAGTGACGTGACACAATTTGGATTGTTTGGGTGGATTGAATTGACTATTGCCTAGGGGCTTTTTAGGAGTAGAAATGCTCTAAGAAAAGATTTTTAGGTGTACTAAAAATACGGTTTGGTTCTCTTAAGTGACATGATATAAGTCATGGAAAACATGTTTTTTAAGTAGCCAATCACTTGTATTATGACACTTGATATACTAGACCGTATTCTAGCACACTGAAAAATTTCTCCTTTGTATCGAATAATGCTTGAAATTGCAAAATTATGAAGGAATTTCATAAAAATACTTCGGGGTGATTCACGAAGCCTTAGATACTAAAGATTACTTTTATGAAAAATTTAATTAATACTGAGTGGCAACATTTTTACCAACTATTGTGGCTGATCTTTTGGAAGAAACTAAGAGCATCTCCAATAAGAACTTTAAATGGAGTCCCCACAACCGTGCAACCCCTAAATATACGGACAAAGAGCTTTCAATGGCCCAGAATAGAAGTTCTTACCAGTATCCCAATGTATAAAAAATCACTGGGTACGTCAAAGAAATCCTCACATGTGAGGTCTACATAGTGACAAAGAAATCCTTACTAGCTGAGATTTGCCTTGCCACCTCTTCTTTCCTTTCTTTTATCCTGGGTGTGTAGAGAACTAAATTCTAAAAAAGAAAATAAAAGGGACCAAAAAAGGTTGAAAAAGATTATAAAAAAAAAAAAAAATCAAGAACAAAGGAAACTGCAGCTCTCATTACTTCAGAAAACTATCAACTAATTAGAACAGTTCGTTATTAGACCGTGGTCTTTGATTCACCAAATACATCAGTATTGTATACTCCTTCATATGTATAGATCATTATTGTATACATCTTTATTGAAACTCTTCGGTTTCATTTTCTGTTTTCCTCTTCCCCAGTTTGAAAGATTTTGCATATTTGGCAACAGTATGAGAGATCACACTCCGACCGGGGACTTTGTTTTCGGGAAGCATCTTAATTGTGATTCCCATGGCTATCAGCAGCAGCCCTGTCCCGTGTTGGCCTGTCAAGGGCTTTGTAAATATCATGTATGACAGCAACAATGTGACCGCCTTTCTAGCCGTTGTAATCTGCATTACAAGAACGAAAGATAAACCCACCGGTTAAATGTGTGCATCGATTTCATAATGTAGTTTAAAATTACGAAGATTAGAAGGCGAAAATTACGTACCATAGCAGTGGTGGCAGCTCCGAAAAGGGCAATGAGGGATAGCACAGATACTTGTCCAACGTATGTCGCTAGGGCTTCAAACACTAAAACCCCGTACACATAAGGATGCTGCAAAATCATTGACAGAAGAATAATTAACATAAGAAACAGTTTAGTGTAATAACTTAAACACTTTTGGGATTTTCATGGGGTATAATTGTGATTGATTCTCTTAACATTTTCCAACTTAAGATCATTAAATCCTAATTGTCTGTCCATCACATAGAACACCAATCAGTTCTCATACCACTTGTTACGACTCCAGTCAATAACTTTAACCTTCTACTGGTATCAGTGGAGTGAATTTTTGTCTCAGAAAACCTCAATATGCAGGTAAGATACCCCATTTGATATACACACATATATATATATATATATATATCAATGTATGTATGTATGGTCATGGATCTCCATGATGAATTCCGAATGGACAGGCATGGTGAGCACGTCATTAATGAATTGACTCCAATGCAAATTAATGTGAAATATATAAATTAAGCAAAGATTAGACATTACTAATTCGTAATTACTTACCTCAGAACAAGAATTCCAGGCCTTAACCAATTCTCCTGTAAGAATCATGGGTGGAAGCAAAAATGGCAACCCAACTACTGTTGAGCAGAACAACATCTCTGTCTGTAAGAAGTTAAAAAGTAAGACATAATTACTAAGACAAAGAGGTAACTTTTTCGTTTAATCCTAAGTTCTATAGCATTTGAAGAACCAGTAAAGATATTACAGGCACCGAAGATTTACCTGTGTGGTACCAGGATTCAAGGTAAAAATTGCTTCTTGCAAGTTACCCAAAAAGGCATCCATGATTAGAGCACCAGATATCATTATCACACCAGCCATGCTAAAATTGGGAGAAGTTTTTGCATCTGCTAAGGTGAAAAGGATCAAACCAATTACTAGAAGCATTGCCGAGATGTATTCCTGAATCGGGTATTTCCTTCTCAATCCCGGAACAAATGCACCCATCACCATCACCGGTAGTACCTGAGTTTTCGACAAATTTTTTTACAGCAATCAGCTCTAACTGAAAAGGTCACAGATTATGTAAATTTATTGACAGTTTTACCTTTGTGGATTTGAACATTATCTGTGCAGGGTAATTAAGCCATGCCAAGGATCCCTTGGTCAGTCCTTGAGAACCCATAAGAACGGCGGAGAGCTTCACATACGTCTTCCATGGATTCACCATTTTCTTAGGGGTGAAGCCTTGAAGGTACATTAGCGCAATATACACAAACCCTTGTACAAAAGTGAAGTACCATCCATAGCTGCAAAATTAGAAAACATAAATAATTAAGGGCCCCTTTGGAAATGCTTATCTAGTAAGCAATTTTGCTCATAAATGATTTTTGCATGATTTTAACATTTCTACCAAATGCTGCCATAAAGCGCTTCTAGTGATTAAAATCTTTTAAACCATTCTAAAGCACTTTGAAACAAAACTGTATTTCTAAGCGAAATTGAAACAAAGAAAACATGTCATCAGATTAAGGGTAACTAACCTGAATTCAAGACGATTATACACGTATTCCTGCGATCAACGAAAACATGTTAACACAAGAAAAATAAGGGCTGCCTTTAAATTTGGATTAAGAAAAAAAAGAAAACTAACGAAAAGTTCAAAAAAAAATAACACTTGAGAGGCAAGGGAATTCAAGGCCTGCCACAGAGAACCAAAGGAATGACACTTGAGAGGCATAACAAGAAAATAGCAATGAAGGCTTCTTTTTATCCAAACATTCTACCAAACTCTGTTTTTGCTATCAGAGAAAATCAAATAACAGAATAGTAATAAAATAAAACTTGACAAAGAAAAAGAAGCAAAATTCATAATACGAAACAGTTAATGGTAAGTGATTTTTGCGCGCTTTTTTTTTCTTCTTTATCCATTGTTTATTTCTAACATTTGAATTAAATAATGAGCGAAGAATACGAAAATCTCTATTGTTAATATATTACGAATGTGAAGGTGTGCAACTATTTTTCCTAATTATATCTTCGAATTAAGCAAAAACTGTGAAAAAAAAATGGCCAAATAAATATAAAACAAACCTCGCAGATGCCATTGACAAGGTAACCAAAGAAGAAGCCAGAAGAGCAAATGATGAACTGCTGCCACCTCGGCCGATCAGATAGTGAAATCCCAAACAAGAACCTCTCGTCGTCCTCGTTCTTCATCTTCCCCACAATCCAATCAAAACCCAGAAAACTCCAACCTCTGATAAATCACAAATCCAAGAGCTTTCCAGCTTTTATACTGCAAAGCTCAAGTTTTTATGAAAAGGGTCGGTCTTTTGGATGGAGAAAAAAAGTATAGGAGAGAGAAAGAGAGAGAGAGAGTGTACGAATTTTCAACTCTCCTCCTCTTTCTCTCTGCCTCTTCGAAAGGGAAGGTAGCACCTAGCAATGAGGCTTTTGAGGGCTTTGAAAAGAGGATGGTTTGAAGGGTTTTTCCACCCCAAGAATCACGGTAGAATTTGGAGGATTTGAAGGGTTAGTGTGTGTGCAATTTGGTTTGTCAAAGGGGAGAGATTTGATGGATTTGGGGGGTCAGTTTGGTTTTTGGTCACTGGTCTGTTAATAGTATTTGACAGAAGTGTGCCTGAAAAAAGAGTAAATACTAAATGGGGTTGCATTTTTCATGCCACTTTACCTTAAACATATGAGGTGAAACTTGATTGTTATTAACTGTATTATCATGTGACCACTTAAAAAATCTGAAAAATAGTAATGAGAGGCCACATGAAATTTGTGTGCCAAATATAGTATTGATGATCACATACCATGAGAAAAGGTAAATTGAGATTAAACACTCAATGTAACACTTTTCCATATTTAGGTTTTCGTAGTTGTTGCAAAGCCATTTTTAAACAGTTTCGATGATATGATGAAAGTATTACTAATCAGGAAGAGAAAGATAAATGGAGGAGGTCAGGGAAGAGTAATACCTAATCATATAGATCTTAACCAACTGATGTAACATGAAAAATAATGGAAGAATCAACGTACATCGAATCTGTTAAGCGACAAACTTGAACAAAACTGATCTCTCTAGTTTCCAAAACCTAATTTCTCCAATTTTTAATCTATTGGCATGCCATAGGAATTTTTACAATAATAAAACTTCAACAAAACTGATCTCTCTAGGATCCTGCTTGAAGCTGGAAGTTACATTATATATGTAAGTCATTTCAAGCCAATGACCTGTCTTTGAATACGACACCGTTTAACTAGCTAGATAACCAAATCAAGTAATAATTCTTTAAGCAAAGAATTCCAAACCTCAGCCTCCAACTCCAAACCCACCTCCTGTCTTTCACAATCCAACTCTCTACAACTCCCCCACTCATTTTCCATATCTTTCACATACACTTTTCTTCCTTCTTCCACCTCCCATCCCAACTGCAACTCCTGTGACTCACCATTTATCCAATCCTCCACCGCCTTCACCGCCTCTCGCATCACCCCGCCTTCGTCACTGTTTTTTTCAACGATTGTCTCCCTGCACAAATCCATCACTACCTTTTCTGCCTTCAAGCTCGCCCGTTTATCTGATGTTTTTTCTTCCGTCTTGTTAACTTGCTCTGCATGCCAATTTGCAGTATGCATGAGTGATGCGGGTGCTTCGGCTTCAGCCTCTGAATCCATTATCGCTTTCATTCGTTGCTCTAAGTCCACTTCCAGTTGAGCTAGGTTTTCGATCCGTCTGATATTTCTCATAAGTTTTTGTTGAGTACCTGCACAATGATCATAAAATTAATCAGTAAAAACAAGCAAAGTACTGTTATAACATAACGCTTCTAGGCTTTTTTGTCAACCATTTTCAGAAACGTGTTTGATCATTTGAAAACAATTTTAGCCTTTTGAAAAGCCATGTCAAACAAACTCTAAGTGACGGTTTTATGTGTCATTAATTTGTGCCTAACCTTATCGCGTGACCATCATGAGACGAAAAATAGACTCCTATATAGATATACTCAAGGGGGAGAGAGAGAGAGAGAGAGAGAGAGAGAGTGGGAGAGGGAGGGACAGACCTTGCATGCATGCAAGGCTACGACTGAAGGGTGAGCGAGCATGGTCATCATCTTCGTCTTCAAATGGACAATCCAGTACGGACACTGGACTAAACTGTTCCTTCTCCTCTTTATTATTCAGCCATCCCTCCTGTGTCATTGTTACAAAAAAAAAATGTATTAGATATTGCCATGTGCATGAGTTGACAAGAAAAAAAAATTAACGTGAAGTGATTTCCATATTATTTAGTTTTTAACATTTTGTTTACAAATTTAGTTTTTCTAGTATTCCTCTTTTCGATATTGTCCACTCGCTTAATTTTATCCATTAATTTTATTTTTTCCGTTTTCCCTAACGACTGAAAAAAAAGAAAATAGATCACTCTCAACAAGCATTGGTCCGTGGGTTCACTTTATGAATTATGGACCGAGGGTCAACATTTTGGTCCAGCAAAAAAAGGTTAGAAGAAAATTGGAATGAATGACCCACCAAAAAGATTTAGAAAATAAATAATCCCACCAAAAAGATTTAGTTAATAAATAATCCCACCAAAAATACCTAATTAATAAATCAGACCGGACAATAAAATACTATTGGCAGTTAGAGATGCCAAACCTAACAAAATAACACGACTGGGCCAAAGCCCACCAACCCACGCCTTTCCATTTAAACGCCTTTGTTCGGCAGGGCCTTTATAGTAATATCATAATTATAAGATGGAGGAAAAATCTGGTGTGTTGTGTAACATGATACCAGGTAGCCTCACGCTTTACGACGCCGTGTAGCCGGCAGGTCAACATGAAGTCGCGGGATCGGAGGCGTTGAAATTCTCGAAGTAAATTTTAATCCTACAGCTTTGAGAAGCAGCTCGTACGATTTCCCAGATATACCACACACGTGAGAATCCACATTTTTCCCGCTAACCCCACAATTTTAAAATTCCCAACACATCCCATGCTAATTCCACCCTAAAGACTATACCAAATGTAGTTTTGGCCCCCTTCTAGCTTTTATTTAGTTTGTACCTCCACAATTGGGGGAGGGACTCAAGACTAGCATGGCATGGTTGGACCTCCATCGTGAGATTATAGGTTGGCGATACCGTATGTGGAAGTTTCTCACAACATAAATTTGTATTGTTAACATGAAATATCAAAACAATGATATACTCGTATTATGTAACAGACACGAGTATATGAATTAAAATATGGTAGTGAAGCATTAATTATTCATAACTATTCTTTAAGTTAAAATCTTACTGAACTACATGGATTAAAAAGTGGGATTGAATGGTTAGATCAATCAAATAACCAAAAGAAATAGATATTGTATGTTTTATTGAGTGGTTAGATCAATCAAATAACCAAAAGAAATAGATATTGTATGTTTTAAGTTATTAACTTTTTTAACACACATATCTCATCATTTATATAGTAACACGTAGTGTATTACCTGTGTTTTGATCACAATGAAAAATTTCTCGAGAGGGACAATCCATGACTAGAGAAATTTTTCTGTGTGACCAGTATACGGAATAATAGACCACGTGTCACTATACAAATTGTAGGATATGTGTGTTAAAAAGTTAATAACATAAAAAATAAAATTTCTCTCCACTTATATAAAAGAGTAATGATATTCATACCATATTTTTATACCACATTTCTATACCATCTTAGATGACATCAAGTATGGACAGCTACATCATTTGAAAAATTTGCAAAACCCAAAGAATGGAAGGAGAAAGACTCCTCATATACCACAATCATCATTTAATTAACTAGTTTTTTCTTAATTATTAGTTTATTAAATAATGAACTAAAATTAAAAATATGAAAATTCAAAGGATGTGGTTGTCCACATCAAATACCACCTAACATGGTATGAAAATATGGTACAAAAACATGGTATGAATAACATTACTCTATATAAAAACACATGCACCTCATGTATTTCAGTCACAATAAAAAATTTCTCCCATGACCATGCGTAGCATTAAATAATAAAAACCCATTTGGTTAACGTACCTTATCATTCTGAGGTGAGGAGGTGGTGGTTGGCCATGCCATGGAAACGGAATCCTCACCCACTTCCCCGCCAACTTTCTCGCTGACTTTGTCCTTCACTAAACTCGTCGTTTTGACATCCACGCCGTCGTTTCCACCTGAACTCTGCAAGCTCAAAGTAAACTCGCTCTCCGCCCAACTGTTACTGCTGCTAGTGTTACTATCATTTCCACTGCTTCTGGTACTGGTAGAATGTGTGGAGACTGTGACTGCGGTTTTGGCTGTGGTGGTGGTGTTTTGATCGGACGACGGAGGTTCGTCGTGGAGAAACTCACGGAACAATCTCCACCGTCCGATGTCATTCTCTTCTTTCTTCTCTTCCTTGCTCTGTTTTTTCCAGAATCTCTTCCTCCGCAGCCGCCGGGAAAGGCTTTTCGGAAGAAGCAAGACCACTCCTCTCCGTACGGACGGGGAGGAAGGGATGCTCTTGACGGCGTTAATGACGGCATCGCAAGCGGCGGCGGCTCTGGACCGGCTTCGGTGGAGGACTGGCTTTTGAGGAGTAATTTTACTGGGATACTTGTCAGTGGACAGTTGAGACGACGACGATGAGCTCTTGAATTCGATGTCGAGGAGGAAACGGACGGTGGTTGTGCAGCACTGGCGGCGAGGGAAGGATTTGAAGCCGTTGGATGAGCAGGAGCTGAGATCGTCCATCAGAAAATCTTTCAGCAGCACCGGCCTCTGCTGGATCGAATTGGGTTTTCGAAAATCCCTTCCGAAACTTGAAACTTTACGACAAAATGTCAAATAAAGATGCAGCGAAGCAATTGATAGAGAAATTCAGAGAAAAACTAAAAAAACAGAAGCTGTGTTTCTAGAGAGGTAAAAGCTGAGTGGGGTAGTTAATGAGGGAGAGAGAGAGAGAGAGAGGGAGGAGAGAGAAGAGGAGAGAAAGAGAGAGGTAGGTTCTTGTGATTAAGGAGGTGAAGATCTCAAGGTGGGAGGGGAGACAATTTAAAGGACCCAGAAGAGAAGAGAGTTGCAGCAGATGAAGAGGAAGAACGGAAGAACCGGAGAGAAACTGAGAGGGGGAGGAGGAGGAAGAAGGAGTTAGGATGGTTCTTGGAGTGGAATTTGAATCCAAGATTGGAATATTTTAATGATATAAAGATTTGAACTTTACCGGGGGATTGAATATTTTTTGAGGCAGATACGAGAGGGATTGGAATCATTGAATATTTTATGGGAATTTAGATGTGGAAATTTAATGCGGTTTCTGTTTTTAGGTTTTGGGGTGTATGAGACCATAAGTTGACCTTGCAGTGATTTTTTATTTGTTTATGGTATTCTGTCCTCATGTTCCACACCACAAATCTGTCGACCTTTTCACACGCTTTGACACGTTGCCATGCATCTTTCCTCAGACTTTCATCCAGCTCTCAACTCTCTCCTTTGTTTTTGTCCAGTTTCTCATCTCTTTGATGGGTGTCAGTGTCAGTGAAATAGTGCATCTGGGGTTACAAAAATATCACCAAAATGTCGGCCTCCACCATAAACTTGCAAAATTGTTGTTGCGGTCCACGTATAACGTTTTTTAGGACGAATTTAAATTATATTATTAATAATTTATTATGAAGTTAAATTTTTTTTTTTAACATATATAATATTATTTGTTAAAAAAATAGATAAACGTTATTTAATAATAAGAAATTATCTAATATTTAAATCCATCATTAAATTTAGCATAACTGAGAATTATTGAACCAATGTACTTGTATGTTTGTGGTAACTAAATATCTTTCGGTTTGAGAAAGAGAAATAAAGAGTGATGATATACCTACCCCTTAACCTTATTTTCCACCCATTTTTTATTGAAAATTTTAATGGCATATTTAACCTTTTGTAAATTGACTTTTGAAAACTAACAAAATGAATTATTATCTTTTTTTTTTTATGGCCAGAATAACATAAATTCAACATTTTGTTTCCAATTAAAAAAAAAACACTGTTATCTTTAATATGGAGAAGAAATCCCAAAAAGCAAAGAGAGATTTAAGGAGAAGGATATGAGAAGATGTGAAAAAAAAAAATGGTGGATGCAATCAACACACTAGCTCTTGTTGCTACTTTGTTAAAATTTGAAGAAAAAACAAGACAAAAATTGAAAATTAGAAGGAAAGCAAAGAGCCAGGCCCTCCCCGTCCAATCTGACGGCAACCATCCTCCAACGTTTTGGTGTCTCATCCCCAACCTAATCTTTTCTTTTCTCCATCTTAACTAAACCCACTAATAAACAAACTCAACCTTAACCCAAATCATCCTTACCAGTCCATAAACGACGATCGATTCGCCCGAGAATGTCGCTCATTTTCCTCGTTCCCATTGAAATGGGCCATGTCAAGGCCCTCTCTTCCTCTAAATTTCCAGAGAGAAAAAGTTAGCTGGCGGTGGGAAGGGGGTTGCCATCGAATTGGGTCGGGTGGCCTGGTTTTGAATTTCAATTTTTGTTTTTTGTAGGAAAATAGTTGAAAAATGTATCAAGGACATTCTAGGAATAATTGTGGGTGTAAAGAGAGTATTATGTGTATTTAACTTTTTATGATGGATGAGAATATAAGATAGATAAAAAGATAAAATTAAGGAGTGAACGTAGTAGCACTCAAAATAAATTTCGAATTTCTACATATAACATTAGTGCATTTATACGCATTTAATAAAATGTTAACCATTAGTTTAATCTAATGATTTGTGTCAATCCACATCAGCAAAATTATATGGCACCAAACACCAATCTCATCTCTCCTTTCTGTATGTTTCCTCGTCCTTCCCAAAACTTCTTCCATCTTTAATTCACAGACCAAAAATCGCAATCCGTGTTTGAACTATCTCTCCCATTTTTTTCAATCTCAATTTCATAGGCCAAAAGTGCCTTCCCCCTTTTTTTTTTTCTTCCTGAAATCAGCAAAAAAAAAAAAAAAAAACAAAAAAAACAAAAAAAAAACCAAAAGAAATTAATATATCTGGCCCATAAGAGAGATTAAAGGAAAAAAAATTTGGAGTTTGGAAAGTTTTTTTTTTTTTGGATTTATTGGTTTCAATGTATAATTTTGGAAAACATGAAGAGATAAAGCAAACTAAATTAAGTTTTATAACTACATAATTGCTGCAAAGAGTTTTAATAAAAACGGAAGAGTGAGAAAGGTGAACTGGAAAAATAGGATGAAGGGAAGAAAGAGATCCAAATAATTGAAAGTGATACATTTATAGGCTATTCATTAGATTAATCCAATCGTTATGATTTTGTTAAATACGTGTAAATGCACTGATGCTAAATATTAAAGACTTGGAATCCAAGAAAAATACATTTTCAATTTGGTTGATTCCTTGTAAGGCTATTTTACTTAATAGAAACCCTAAAAATGAACGGTTGGGACCTTCAAATTGCATTAGTGGATTTATATTACATATGGGAACGGGTGCGTACAAAAAAATGTTAGTCAGGTCCACATATGAGATCAAATTTTATGAGCTGTTTTTGTGAGTGACCTTTATCATTAATTGATACGTATTAAGTTTATGACAATAAAGTTAAAAAGCGTAAAGTTTATTAACACGTATCAATCAATGATAGATGTTATACACAAAATGATGCAGAATATGTGAACTCACAATATATATATATATAGTTACAAAATCCGGGAAATAAAGTTGACGTTTACTTGGAATTATTTGGATGATGATATTCCTCTTTTCTATATTTAATTACATTAGAACGTAATGAAATCTTGACCCTTCATCACCAATTCATCATAATCCTAGAGCTTTGACATAATCATTATCACATGATATCTGTGCCGTGTGGTCGTCTCAATGGAGCAAGAATGCAATGACTTTGACTGTCATGTATCAAATTGTTAATTAGCTAACGTGACTATCCTTGTAAGGACAACTGATGGGCTAACTAATCATAGATTTTTTTTTTAATTTTTAATTTTTTTTCACGCAAGAGAACCTCCATTACATTAAAAAATAGTACAAGGCCAGAACCAGGTAAATAACAACAAATAAAGTAATAGGTCCAAGCAAAATGAGAGCTGCAACTTAAGATACAATGGGAGACCCATACAAGCTTAGGCCCGAAAGCTGCAAAAACAAACAGCAAAAAACCCTCATCTCAAGCAACATAAGCCAGAACGCCGCTGCCGTCACATTCTCGGAGGAAGCAAAACTCCAAACTGAGAGAGTGGACACCAGATCCAAGTCCCATTTCACGAATCCCTACAAATATATACAAACAAAGTATCTTATGGCTAGAGAGTGAGGCAAATGGGTATGTAATATGCCCAACAATTGGCCCCGATAAGATCTGGCATGCCATTTGGGGAGCGGTAGTGGATTTTATATCCAATTTCTGATCGGAGCCTACCGGTCTGAGCACATAGGGGGATAGGGATGAAGGAAAATTAAAAGACATAAGGCAGTAAAAGGTGGGGAAAACGCCAAATAAGGGGCATGAAGCCCAAATCTAAGACAAACTTAGGGGATAGCTGAGACCCATCTCAGGGAAAACTGAGATAAAACTCAGGGGGAATCGAGAATAAAAACAAAGGAAGAAGACTGAAAAAGGGGAAGGAAAATGAGGTGGATGGAGGGAGGGGGAAGGGGCTAAGGAGATGAGAGGGAGGAAAAGAAGGAAAGGGCAAAGGAGATGCGAGGGAAGCAGGAGAAAAATGAGGAGTAACGGGCTGCTGCCACCCCTAGCAAGAGCAAAGGGCGGCAGCCTGAAACTTGAAACTAGGGTTGGTGTGCTTCTGGATCTAGGATTTGAAGATCACAAAGAGCGAGAATATTCATAGAATTATAATGGGGTTTTGAGGAGGACCTGGACCAATCGTAATAGTTAGCAATTAACAAGTACATGATATTCGAGTGAAAATATTTGTAGAGTACCTCAACGTATAGTACACATTGTTGAGTTGAAGTATAATACTTGCGTTCCTTCATGGAGGATTGTGCATATCTTACTTCTTTTGAACAATGAATATTAATTGTATAAACTTCATAAGCAGAACTATTCAATTTCTTAATCTTCATTTGAAAATTATCCCTATTAAAAATCATTTGAACCGGAGGTCGTCTAGTCATCCATAATTATGGAACAAATCGATGACGTAAGTACCAAATAATATATTCATGATGAACCATCCATTTATTTTAAGGACCTAAGAGCTGGATCAACTAAGTTTTCATTACTCATTTATGCCATGGAAATAAACCTATTTTTCACGATTATTGGAGTGGGAATTGGTTGTGGTCATACTAATATATGAATCAAAATCTTATTGTGGACCAAAAATTTGAGTGCTATGAGAGTGATTCTTATTTTTTTAGTTTGATATATTCAAGTCATTAGTGTGATCCCTATACAATAAATTATACGTGATCTCTTTACAATAAATTATAAGAGATAAAAATAAGTAACCAATCATAAAATTGAGAAACATAAAAAGTAGATGGGATCCCACATTTTATATAGAACTCACTTCTATCAAACTCACACCATTATGATTATAGTGTGAAAGGAATCAAACTTATGGTGGATAATTCTTATATATTGGAATTCACACTCACCTATATTATTGAAAGACCTTAATATGGTTAGCTTAATTAGGATTTATTTTGTTTATATTTGATTTGATTTGGAATTTAAAACACTTACTAGGGTTTGGTGTGTCATATCCTCGCTTCTTCTTCCTTGAATGATCGAGGGAATCTTCATGGTGTTGGTGTAACAAAATGAGGGGTGACTGTTGCTTTATCTATTTCTAGGCGCACAACTACGTGATCAAGATGAAGTTTTTCTCAAGTAACAAGCCTGACACAGATGAGATTTGAGATTATATAAATATACTAGTCTCAAATATGATATCCACAATCTTCCCAAGCCTTCTTACAAGGAAAAGGATCCTCGCCGGATCATTTTCCTGGGGATCTGAGGAATCCCGTGATCATGTCCGTTCATCATATATTGTACAGTCAGTTTTTGTTAGGTATTATTTATATTTAATTTTAAATTTTAAATTTCAAATGATTTTTGACCGCACAATGTACGATGAACGGACATAATTACAGGATCTCTTGGATCCCCAAGAAAAGGATCCGGCGAGGATTCTTTTCCTTCTTACAAAAATAAATTTGTCCCCACTTTGATTTTACACATTACCTACAAAACTTTACAGGATTCAATATTAAACCCTAGTACATCATGGAAAGGGATCCTCTATGGATCCTTTCCACCAAGTCCACCAAGTCCACTCATCTGGGCTATTAAAATTTGATCCAACGACTAAAGTTATTATAACTTTTAAAGGGACCCCCTATTTGTAGCCGTTGGATCAAATTTCAATGGCCCGAATGGGTGGACTTGGTGGAAAGGATTCGGAGATGATCCCTTTCCGTACATCACAATGATGGATGGACCACCTGCATCATTAAGGTATGGTTTGGGATTGAGGTGATTTTAAAAAAAGCTGGTATAAAAAAAAGCTGGGGGTCATTTTTGTGTTTGGTAAACTTCCATCTTCAGCTTTTTTTCACAGTTTTGGGTGAAAAAAAACCAAAAAACAAAAGCAGCAAAATGCAGCTTTGAAAAACTGGCTTCGCAGCTTCTGCTCAAACCTCTAAAACACTGGTGAACAATGACCCTTTAATGAAAGTTTCTGGCAATCCTACCCTGAGCTCTCTCTTCTACCTCCACACTCCTCCGTCAAACCCACCACTTTCCCACACCTATATGCACCCCCTCCGCCTCTCCTGCTCCTTCAAACCCAGAAAACCCCCCAAACCACCTTCTCTATCCGCCTCAACACCGCCGCTTGCCAAAGACAGAGTCATTGACTTCGGAAAATACAAGGGCAAGATGTTAGGCACCCTCCCTTTAGCCTACCTCAAGTGGGTCTCCAAAAATCTCTGCGCTCACGACTTCGAGGACTGGGCGAAACTCGCCGACCAGGTCCTTGACGACTCCGTTTACCGGGACTAGATCGAGTGGGAGCTGGCGGAGAACATCCTGAACGGAAATTGGAGGAAAACAAACCTAGCCTCTGACGTCATTTCATCCATCGAGCTATGGTGGCTCCAAACCCATCAAGAACCCTACATTCCTAAAACCCATTTCTCCATTTCGCCGATACATTCACTCAACTCAAGTTCAGGCGATTGATTCCGAGGATTCCAAGCAGGAGGAAAAGAGAGTGCAGAGAGAGAGAGTTGAGGAAAGCTGAGAGTTTTCGAGAGAGTTCGAGAGTGTAGAGGGAAAAAAAGACACAAGGATAAGGGAAATGGGATGTAGGCCTCACAACCACACAAAATCCTCACATAAAAATAATAATATTAAATAAAATATCATAATAATAATATAGTATTATACCATTTTTGGTCATTTCACAGTCACAGCTGTTTTACATAAAAGTTTACCCAACACTATCATACTGTTTTTTTTTTCCAAAGACACTTTTACAAAATAGTTTACCAAACACTCTGCTGCTTTATTTCACAGCTGTTTATTCTCATAGCACAGCAGAAGCAGCTTTTTTTTCAAAGCACAGCAATACCAAACCAACCCTAATCCAAGTGGCTCGTCCGAAAATCCCTTGGCACTGCATTAGAGTAAGTCCACCCCATGCCAATTGCTTGGGCAATTACGCAATCTAATTCCTCAAAACTCAAAAGTGTATCTCCACCCCAGCCCAATTAGTCAGGCTATTGGGGAGCTCAGCATCGTCGGATTGAACAATCAGGCAAGAATTTATGTTTTTTTTTTAAGAATAAAATTTCTGCTAGAAGACTAATTAAGAAGAAGCTAGGAGAAAGATTCCTAGATGGGGAAGGGTTTGGAGTAGCATCAGACAAGAGTCTTTGACATTAAGGGTGGGCACTTTGGATCGAAAGTTGAAATTGAAATATGGATCAAATTGGACTGTGACAAATAATTCGATTTTTTACGGTCTTGAAATGGTTCCGATTTAAAACATGACCAAAAGTTAAAATAACAGTTCGATTTCAATTCCTAATATTTGGAACCGAACACATAATGTAAAAAAATATTTAATTTAATTAGTAAAGGCTTTTATATTAGCACCCCACAAAATGTTGAATGCATTCCACATTAAATTTTAATACTAAATCATTTAAGTATCCTACTATGCAATAACAATTTTGACCTTATTAGGTTTTAAAAAATAAAAAATTTGAAAATTCACCACAAATCACTTTTATTATTTATCTTTTTCAACTATCAAAACTCCACACACCCTCCATTTTTTATGGTTATTTTCAACTAGGTTTATCTAACAGAATAGAAAGTACAGAGCATTTAGGAAGCATGAATACTACAATTTGGATGAACACAGATATCCAATAGCTATAAAATTTGTTAGCGAACCATAATTTTCATATGAAAAATGCCTACAAATTCGTAAGAGCTTTTGGTTTCATTACACGGGCCAAATATCTTTGTAAGATACTACATCAAAGCTCAACTTAAAAGTTCACATGTATCAAAATCACCATAAAAAATTAATAGGCTACACAGGCAAGCCCTTGCTTGAACAACAGAATAGAACGAAGAACAAAATCATAAGACATTTAATTTCTAAGATGTTAGAGCGTTATTCGGATGGTGAAGCAGTAAACTTGAGTCACAGTTCAATGAGCCAATTAAGCGGTTTAAAAATGAACGAAAAATAACAGAGTAGAACGAAAAAACAAAATCATAAGACATTTAAAAACGAGTGTTATAAGATTTGAAAAATGTGGGGTGTATAGAAAAGGTGGGATGTATGGAGAAAAGTGAGGTGTACGTTGAGAATGTAGGGTATGAGGGTATTATGAGAAAATATGAAGGGTGTATTAAGATAATTTTTAATTAAAAAATCAAATGTAGGGTGTATTAAGTATGTGAGGTTTATTCAACAATACGTGGAGTGTTGATGTAATACGTGGATTGTTTATTCAACAATAAGTGAGGTTTTTTTCACTGTGACCGGAATACGAATGGTACACAATGTATTGTTATTTAAATGATGAAAATTTCTTTTTAAGTTACTTAAGTTTTATAATGACACGTAATGTATCATCCCGTATTAGTCACACTAAAAAATCTCACGTTGTTTTCTGTGTTTGGGGCCAAACAAAGTGGAAAGACTATAAAAATAAAATTAAAAAAAAAATGCTGGGAACCCTAAACCGAAATAGGCTTATAAGTTAAGCCCTTTTATAACAGGCCTATAAGTTAGGCCCAAACTTAAACATAACCGTTTTAAATCGAACCAAACCAAAATTGAATGGTTCTTTTTGTTTTCATTGTCAAAACGAACTAAACCAAAACGCAACAAATTTTGATTTCAGTTTTAATCCATTCCGAATTGCACCAATCTGTGCCCACCCTTATTCTGCATTTTATGGGACACGTACAACATTGTGTTCTATTTGTAAGTGCTTTTGTTGAAGTGCTTTTTTAAAAGCACAATAATTTAATACCCCAGATGTTTTATTAACTCCCCACATGTTGTTAATACACCCCAATAAAAAATTAATACTAAATAACTTGCAACTCTAATATGAAAGGACTATTCAAGCCCTCACAACCACTCTCACTCTCCATTATATAACAAAACCCTAAAAACACAAACACATCAGTGAAGAAATATTATTTTTGACGAATGGAACATAAAATCGAGTTTTGGCTCATCGTGCATTTGTTGGTTTTGGCATTTAAGAAATTATTTAAATGATGGAATATAAATTGACTTTTTGCAAAGCTCTGCTCTAAATGAAATCCATGAAATAGGAAGAAAAGTGGAGAATGTTGTAAAATTTAAAATATAATTAAATGTATTATTATTGTGGTTGTTTGATGATGAAGAAATTCAATGTTTTGGCTGGTTAGAATGGAAGCAATGCCATTAGATAATAACCTTTCAAAGGAATTTAGAATTGGTTATCATCTTTCATAAAATGATGTACGTCCGTTGGCAGTTTTTAAACAAACAAATGTGTTCCTTTTGCAAATCTCGGGAAAGCCATTTATACAAACTGACATGACCAACAGTTCCTACCATCTATGCATCAGGTTTTTTGGAATCCAACCACTAGTACAAAAACATACTTGCACGACAGAGCAATTTGCGTTGCGTAAAGTGTGTTTGCACAACGGTGACAACAAAACGTCACGCAAAGACATTTTGCGCAATGGAACTTTGTGTGACGAAGACTGTCGTCGCGCAAAGTGACCTTCTGTAAACCTTAATGAATGGTTCCAAAACTAAATTATTTCTTCTATAAATTTTTGTGGTATCCACTAGTGTAAATATTTTAAATTGAAGATCGAATTTGTTCATTATATTCATATAGGATCAAGGAGTGTAGCTATAAAAAAATCATTAAAATCGGAGTTAAATAACCGTTAAATCATGATTTTTCGTTTATAACCGTCAAAAAGTTTTGTCCCGTTATTTGATCTCTGAATGCTTGTATTTTTACGATTTTTGGCATATGTGATCTCGAAGTATATACAAACAAGGTTGACGGTTGGATTGTTAAAATTAGTTTCGTAGAATGCGTATCCCATCAAGTTCAATGATATATATGTGTGTGTGTATATATATATATATTTATTAAGTAGCTTTAAATTTATTTTTTTGTTATAACAGTTAAGAAATTGAATGGTATATATATTTATTAAGTAGCTTTAAATTTATTATTGTAGTTCGGATCCGGTTTTTGTTAGAAAAATATATTATTGTGTTTTATGTAAAAAAAAAAAAAAGAATTTGAAAGGAGTAAAGTCACATTTTCAGTAAATTTTATAATAATTGTCTTTTTTTTTAGATATAACTTGTGCGACGTCACAATTGGTCGTTGCACAAACATAATTTGCGCGACGCACCAACCAATGCGTTACTCAAAGATTGTTTGCACGACGCACCAACCAATGCGTCATGCAAAGGTTGTTTGCACGACAAACAACTGTGTCTTGCAAAGTGTTTTTGTGGTCCACTTGTGTAAATATTTTAAATTGACGATCAAATTAGTTCATTGTATTTATATAGGATCAAGGAGTATAGCTGTAAAAAAATCATCAAAATTGGAGTTAAAATAACCGTTAAATCTTGATTTTTCGTTTATAACCATGGAAAAGTTTTGTCGCGTTACTTGATCTCTAAATGTTTGTTTTTTGCAATTTTTGGCATATGCGATCTACAAGTATATACAAACAAGTTTGACGGTTGGATCGTTGAAACTAGTTTCGTAAAATGCGTATCCCATCAAAACAATAGATTCACTAACACTTTGAGTTTATTTATACTTTCATTAAGTACAACGTAAGATTTTGTGGTATCCAATAATGTAAATATTTTAAATTGAAGATCGAATTCATTCATTGTATTCATATAGGGTCAAAAAGTGTAGCTGTAAAAAATCATCAAAATCGGAGTTAAAATAACCATTAAATCACGATTTTTCGTTTATAACCTTCAAAAAGTTTTGTCTTGTTACTTGATCTTTAAATGCTTGTTTTTTGCGATTTGTGGCATATGCGATCTCGAAACATCTACAAACAAGTTTGACGATTGGATCGTTGAAATTAGTTTCGTAGAATGTGTATCTCATCAAAACAATAGATTCACTAACACTGAAGAGTTTATTTATAATTTCATGAAGTATAACATAAGATTTTGTGGTATCCATTAGTGTAAATATTTTAAATTCAAGATCGAATTCATTCATTGTATTTTTATAGGATCAAGGAGTGTAGTTGTAAAAAAATCATCCAAATCGGAGCTAAAATAATCGTTAAATCTTGATTTTTTGTTTATAACTGTCAAAAAGTTTTGTTCCGTTACTTGATCTTTGAATGTTTGCTTTTTGTGATTTTTGGTGTATGCGATCTCGAAGTATATACAAACAAGTTTGATGGTTGGATCATTGAAATTAGTTTCGTAGAATGTGTGTTCCATCAAAACGGTAGATTCACTAACA